TGGGGTTATAGGTGTGCACCACTGCACCTGGCCTCAAATAAGCATATTCCTCATATATTTTGTGTATGAATACTTTGAGCACTGCAGATAAAGTAACATTCAATTTTTGGCTTAAATATAGAAAATGTATGAGTCGAATTATTCTCTTTTGATTTCAAAAGAAACTGTGGTTTTTATTTTTCAGTGCTGAAAATGAGCCCATGAGCACAAGTCAGAAAAAGGAAAATGTACTTTCATCAGATGCAGTAAAGGTATAGTTTTAAATTAATGTTATCAATTTAATCACAATGATATATTGTTAATGTTAATACCAAGCGCATATTTTAAATTACTGCACATTTTTCCTTTTAGATTCTGTATCTTATTGTACTTTTCAAAAAGAGACTCATATTATTACTTTATGTGGAAATTCAGTCCAGCTCTGTTGAACATTAGCATCATGAGATGGGGCAGCTTTGGGACAGAAAGAAGAACCCTGAGAAGGCAGTTTAGAGAGTGATGGTCTCAGTTTTGCCACTAATCAGCTGCATGGCCTTCAGCAGAGAAACTTATTTTTTTTGTGCCTTACTCTTCTAATCTGTATATCATATTACATGATCTCCACGGTCTGTTTTCCCTAGAAAGTTCTTATATGTAGGTTGCATTTATGAAATGCTGTAGACAACTATTAATCAGTTTGGGGGAAGTAGAAATTAATTACATGTTCCCACATGCCATCGCTCTGTGATGCATGAGTTTGGTAGGCTTATATATGAATTGGTCTTCTTTGCTTATATAAGACAAGCTCAAAAAACATATAAGCCTTATACCTAGCTACCAAGTTATTGATAAGTGGTTGAAAATTAATAAATGTTTCAGTCTTTCTTTTCATAAGTGATTTTCTAGGAACCGGATGTTTGTGTTCTTTGGCCAGATATGCTGTTCTACAATCTTGCCTTTTGGTCCCAGTTGCTTTCTTTTTACATGATTTGTAACAATCAGTCAGAGGGATAGTTTGCACTTTCTAAGGATTTCAGGGCAAATTAGCTTGGTTAAACAGTCACGTGAATTTTTTAAGTACTAATATGTATACTTTTTAACATTTTTGAAACCTATATAAAATCCAAGTACATTGAATATGGCAAGGATGAAGTTTGCATTCTTTATTCCTCCTGCCTTCTTCATGCCAGTGGAAAATTAAATATTTATTGAAAGAGAAAAAAATCCTGGATCACTCTGCTTCCATTTCTTCACTCCTTTGTGAGTTTGGCTACTAAATCCTGTTCTTGGGTTCTATAATATCTTTCCCCTACTTCTCTTCTGCAGCCAACAGTTAGCCATTCTGTCACTTTACCTTTGGACAAGCTTTATAGTTGTTATATGCCATTAAGTTGCCCTACGCAAGATTTTCACTTCTAGTACTCAAACATGAAACTTCACCCATGTTGTTTCACAGAAAAGCTGTGCTTCTGAGATCTCAAACTTGGAATTTTCTTTGGATACCAACTCCTTCCTGTTCATCTTAATTCCTCATGGCTTCTGAATTCTTGACCTACACCAAACCTTCCTGCTTTCTTTGCTCCCTCCTCTTCTCTTGGTCTTTTCTTGTTTCCCTACTCAGGCTCTTTCTGTGGTTCTGTTCTTTCAGCTACAATTTTCCTTAAAAAAAAAAAAAAAAAGCCTCCAGTCTTAAAACTCTTTTAGTCCCAGTAGTTCTGTTTTCCACCTTCAGAGATTTGCTCCAGGAAGTTCCAGCTTTGTGGATTTAGTAAATATTTATGGTGGCAAAAATAATGGCTGGATGTCTATGCTAACAGCCTTTTCCTATTTTTGTTAATATCTTAGTCCATACAATCTTTTTGATACGCTCTTAATATTTTAGTTTGAGTGTCCAGGATCATTTCATTCTGGGATCTAGGTCCCTAAGTAAATACCACTCACAGTCATAAGGCTGTTTTACTGATGACTTGAAGCCTTCAAGGTTACTTGTACATGGGAACCTGGATTCGCTCATAATAAAAAGAGTACATGGCATTCTCTGGGATAGCATTTTGGCCCGTGTAACCTTTTGTTTTTCTCATCCTTCTGAAAACTACCGGTAAAATTTCTTCAACCTAACCACACAGACGCCAGCACTCAGCCTCAGGCCTTAGGGGGAGCAAAACAGGTTAAAAACAGTTTGCGATAACATTTAGTCTCTTGCCATTTGGAACATTTTCAGTTGAAGATTTTTCATTTAGCAAGTGGCATAAAACATGCCTTTTGTTTTCTTTCTAATGAATAGTTCCTGAAACAGCACTCCACTGTAGTTTGGCATTTTTTCACTGTGTGCTTCCATCTTGTTAGCCTGGATTGGATAATGCCTTCTGTGATAAGAAGGAAAAAATGTGCATTTTTCTTCTCAAGTCTGAGTCATGAATAACATTTATATATGATGAATATACTCTTATATATATCTTGTTATGAGTGTTTGGCCTTTAAGATGCTGACTCAAGATGTCAGAAGTTGTTGGCTAGGGGACAAGTTTGAGCTACAAAAATTAATTGCAGTTTCATAATATAATACAAGATAATTTTATAATTATCTTTGGACACTATGATTTTTAAAATACCACTTACATGCTGCACAGCTTTTGCTGTTTTGATAACATTGTTATCTAATACTTGAATCTGTTCATCTACTGGAATATTTTTCTTTTATATTAATCACGTTTTGAATCTACCTGGAGAAACTTTCGGATATTTAGTTCTCATTTTACCATTAAAAATCTTGTAGCCTTAGCCTCTTGATGCATTCACATTACTTTTATTTAAGTGGGGGAAGGCATATTGTTAAGCCCTGTCCCCTTCTGCCTATTTCAGAGGAATGGGTATCCCTTTGTTCCTTCCAAGGCTGAGTTCCCAGCAGCCTGTACCTGTGTCCCATATCAGTGGAATGGTATCTTTACTCTAACCCTAACTTTAACCATAACTCAGGAAAAATAGTTCTTGGAATAAAACATCTGGCCAAAACTTGGAAATATATTTTTGTTTGAGAATGGTGGTGATTTATTCTGGGTGAACAGTGTAGAAATCAGCTATTAGAAAGAAACATTTTAGAACGGAGGCATACACGAATATATTGAACTTTGTCCAGAAATCAAAATCCTTATCTCTTGATTGCTTTTATAGAATGCCATCAGGGTACCTAAAATGGAGATAGACCTAGAATGGTCCTTCACTGGTATAAGTGAATACCTTACATAAGGAAACTGGGAAGGATCAAGTATTTTAAAAATCTTTTCTAATTTATTGATTTTTTTTTTTTAATTTGAGAAACTTTGCCTCCACAGGTTCTAGGTATGGAATCTGGAATAGTAGAGGCAACTCCAGAAACCTCTCAGAGGATCAAAAACATTGATCTTCTGGCTCATTGTTGTTACTGGATAAGTCCTTTTACCACAATAGGAAGGAATGGCTTTCCCTTCATGTCATAGCTTCTTGTTTCTTTCTCTTCTTGCCTTATACTTCTGCCCAACTTGATTTGATTTCTGACTAACATGGTAGGTTATGTAGGACAAAGCCCACATCTCTATCTCCATCTCAACATGTATTCCTGACATTCAGAGTGAGAAAGCCAGTTCTTTGAGC